AATTAAAGGACGCAATTTAAAATAGGTTTAAAATAATTTTGAAAATATTGATTTTAAAGGTATAACAAAAGCTCAAAAATAAGAAACGAACACAAATAATGAACAAATTCTACCTAATGTAGCATCCAACTGTCTAGCATTACCATTTATTTTACGTTCACGAAGCGCATTGAATTGGGAGCGTGCGCCTGTGGCCGAATCCACAAAAAATGCTAAGATGTTTTTGACGAACTCATTTCATTAAGAGAAAATATTGTATCTTCATAATTGTAGTAGTAGGAATACGTCAAAAAAAGTTTGATTTTTTTCTATTTTCGAAAAATCAGGGTTTTTAGCCAATATGAGTCTTGCACTATTCTTTTAAACGTTCTTCAGACTATCCAAAAACAAAATTTCATAAAAAAAACGCTGGGGCCGATTTTGAGAAAATATTGTGAAAACAAAATTAAAAATTGCCTAAATTTCACGCAAAATTGTATATGACTTTCTGAATCCATTTTTAAGAAACAGATTTTATTACGAGAAAAAATCTCTATCTTTAATATTTTAGTTGTAGGAATACGCCGAAAAAGTTAAATTTTGAAAACTTTCGAAAAATGTTTTCATCGAAAGTGCGACCTGCACACGTCCTTTACACTATCCAACAACAAAACTTAATCAAAGACGATGGAGCTATTTTTTTAAAATTTTGAAACTGTCCCAGGGGCTTCATGTTTTGGGGGTATTTTCCCCGAAAATTAAAATACCGGTTTCAAATTCAAGAGGCCGCTACATCAGCCACATCGTTCGGGGAATATCAATTTTGGAGAAAATCGGTGGAACGATTTAGCCGCTAGCGTTGTTGACAGGGGTTTTGCTGTCAATAAATGTTTCGGTACCATAGATTCTGGTTACACCACGTGTTAGAGGATTTTTTCTCTAAATTTAGCATGTTAATTTATCCACTTTTTCGTTGCCTTGGCCCTGTAATAAGAATTTTTCTGCCGAAAATTCGCAATTTTTCGCGCATTATTACATACCTTTCTCTGTACCGCGGTAGGGAGAAAGTAAAAAAGTTGTTACACAAAAATAGTTATTA